TGTATCCTGGGCTTTATTTATTTGGGAGCAGCTGTGTTTGCCCTGATAACGCCGCGTATTTGAAATATTAATAAGCGCATGAAGCTCTGAACTGCCCGCGGAGGTTTAGTGTCGTATAGCGGGTCTCAGCGCTAATATTCACTGACGCTAACGTGTGTCCGGGTCAGTGTGACGAACAGACCTGCTCGCATCATCAGCTTTCACACACCGTTTTAATGTCAACGACCTGTTGCTGTGTGAACCTACTGTATGCTGGGATCGGATTTACTACAGGAACAATTGCATATGCAATATATATATATATATATATATATATATATATATAGACCATTTTGCAAGATGTAAACAACACTGTCCAGAAACACTTCCTGTTTCAGTTTGTAACTGTTTTCTTTATTTTACATGTAAAGAAAAAATCTTAAAGATGTTTGTTTAACTTTTTTGATTCAGTTTTATATGTTCTGTTGGTTGTATTTTATCCCAGCTTTTATGTAGTGTTAAAAAACTGAAACAGGAAGTGCTTCTGGACCAGTTTTGTTTACATCTTGCAAAATGGTCTATATATATATATATATAAACAGTAATAATATTTGCATTAAAGTGAATTTTGTTAAAGGGATACTCCACTTTTTTGGGAAATAGGCTCATTTTACCACTCCCCCAGAGTGAAACAGTTGGGTTTTTAGCGTTTTCCAATGTATTCAGCCGATTTTCTGATATTTAGAAGAATATCAGTAACCAGACAGTTTCTGGTCTCATTGACCATAGTATATATTTTTTCCTACTATGGAAGACCACAAACTGTCTGGTTACTGATATTCTTCTAAATATCAGAAAATCGGCTGAATGGATTGGATAACGGTAAAACTCAACTGTTTAATTCTGGGGGAGTGGTAAAATGAGCCTATTTCTAAAAAAAAAAAAAAAGTGGAGTATCCCTTTAACAAAATTCACTTTAATACAAATGAAAAGTTCAGATGCAAAAGCCTCTAAATGCCATTTGAAATTTTCTTCTAAAATGACCATGTTTATCAAGCTTGCATATTTAAGTTCAGTAATTTCACTTAAATGACATGCCATTTAAGTGAAATTACTGAACTTAAATATACAAGCTTGATAAAAATGATCATTTTAGAAGAAAATTCCAAATGGCACTTAGAGGCTTTTGCATCTGAACTCTTCAAATATTATTACTGTTTATATATATATATATATATATATATATATATAAAGTGGAGTATCCCTTTAAAGGGGACACATTATGCCCCTTTTGAATGTGAAATTTCAGCTCAATCCCCTCTCTCTTCTTATTAGTAGAGAAGGCTCACCCGAATGAAGTGACTGTGTTTCCCTTCACACGATTACAGCAGTACACACGGGAAATCGGATAATGTCCCATTTAATGTCAGATAATTCTATAGTTCACTTTCATGCAGTATTTTAATGCACTCATTGATGCTAAACACTACATTTACATTTTCACACCAAACTGTAAGAAGCAAAAGTTTGGAACGGTTAATTGTGCGGTTTGCAGTAAAAGACTGTATTTAATCTTCAGAAATATGAACACATCAGAAATATGAGCAAAACTGGAGCCGAGCGAACGGCAGCGGTTTCTCTCTCTGGCACCTTTATAATAATCCTGCAGTTTATGAGGCGGTGGGTGTGCTCGAGAAGAACCAATCAGAAGCCAGAACTCTAGTGGGAATAGACGTCCAGGGTCTAAAGCACATGACCAGCAGAATTACATTAGGACATTTGAAGACTGAGATTCCTGCAAATAAAAGCTGAAACTCGAGCGAATCCTGCAGGCCTGACAGAACCGTCTCTGATACCGGGATACTTCATCAGAGGTCAGAGGTCAGAATTACCATTAATCAGATCGACAGCGACTCTGAGCCATCTCCAGAATGATTCCTGATTACTGTCGGTCTGAAGGAGAGGTCGGAGGTCAACAGTCTGTGAATGAGTGTGTGGCATCGAAAATATGAACTGAACGGATGAAGATACTGGACGACACCACGACCCCAGAAACATCTCCTCACATATTCATAAACAGTACAAGAGAACATTATTTATATATCATATATATAAGTAAATATTTAAAAATGTTTTAACATTCCCTTTGGTGTGTGTGTGTGTGTGTGTGATCCGCGGCAGGACTCGCGAGTGACGCGTTTCCCGTGTTCCTGATCTCGGATCTGTCCGCGAGCGTAATGCTATTATCCAGACGCTAATGAGAACCGCGAGAGAGTCGCAGCGCATTCGGACCTGCCGCCATCTATCCTGACGGAGAGCGGCTCAGGCTCGACACACATCTATCCCAGAAGCCTCGACCTCCCGGCGAGAGCAATAGAATTAAAGAGATAAGAGCTGTCATAGAGTGCGCAGGGTGAACTATTGCAGACCGACTGTCACGCTTATATGAGCTTCACATATCGATCGCCAGCCCAAACCTGTGAGGACCGTCACGCTCACCGAACACTCACAGACTGGGGGAGAAGATGGACGACACACACACACTCTTTCTTCCAGTGGAGAACAGTGAAGCGCCACGGTCATGATATGCTGAAATCTTGCACTGTTTTGGGACCTCATTTTGTGCAGTAATGAACGAGAAGTGGAGCCACGATATCAAGGTCCAGCTCACACACACTCACTCACACACACACACACTCAAACTCACACTCTCTTTCACTCTCACTCAATTCAATATAGCTTTATTAGCATGACTGTGTAACACAATGTTGCCAATGCATCAACATATTATATATCAATAATAGAACACACATATATGTATAGATCATGTCATATAGATCCTCTCACTCTCTCACTCACACTCAAACTCACACTCACTTTCACTTTCACACTCACTCTAAGGGTATGTTTACACGGAAACGATTCTGAAGAGAAAACGCAAAAGTGGCGTTGCGTCATCACTTTTTATTTTGCGATTTTAAGCCTCAAAAATGCCGTCGCCAGTTTATTTTTACGTGAACGATTCACCCGGAATCGTTCTCGTGTAAACGGGGCCTAACTCTCACGCTCTCTCTCGATTCAATTCAATTCAAATGAGCTTTATTGGCATGACTTATACAGTATTGCCAAAGCATTGGCCATTACATACGCAATGAACAAATAATCAGTAAATGAATCAGTAAACAAATGCATGAAATGCATGTATATATCAGAAAACAAACAAACAAAAAAAAAACACAGTTTTGGACCAACATTCTGACTTTAGAGAAGGAGAGAGAGAGGTTGAACCCTCTCTCTCTCTCTTTCCTATACTCTCTACCTCTCTCTCTCCTACTCTCTACCTCTCTCTCATAATCTCTCACTCTCTCACACTCTCTCACACTTTCACTCTCACACTCTCACACACTCACACTCTCACTCTCTCACACTCACACTCTCACTCTCACACACTCACTCTCTCACTCTCTCACACTCTCTCACTCTCACACTCTCACTCTCTCACTCACACACACTCACTCTCACAATCTCACTCTCTCACACTCACACACACTCACACTCACACTCTCACTCACACTCTCACTCTCTTACACTCTCACTCTCTCACACTCTCACTCTCTCACTCTCTTACACTCTCACACTCTCAATTCAATTCAATTCAGAAAGCTTTATTGGCATGACAAAAATACATTTTGTATTGCCAAAGCGTCAAAACAACATAGAAAATTATTTGGAACATTTAGTACACAAAATATAAAAACTGATATCATAAAACAATAATAATAAAATGAACAGATTAATAAATAAAATAAAATGGATTTAGAAATCATCTATATATATATATATATGAAGAGTTCGGATGCAAAAGCCTCTAAATGCCATTTGAAATTTTCTTCTTTAATGATGATTTTTATCAAACTTGTGTATTTAAGTTCAGTGATTTCACTTAAATGGCAATGAAGATTACCTATTAATTGTTATTTAAGTGAAATTACTGAACTTAAATACACAAGTTTGATAAAAATCATCATTAAAGAAGAAAATTTCAAATGGCATTTAGAGGCTTTTGCATCTGAACTCTTCATATATATATACATAAAAAAGAAAAATATTGAACATTATATACATGTGTGTAGGTCTTAGGCTGTGAGTGAGTGTGTGTTTAGTGTGTGTTCTCACACTCTCACTCTCTCACACACACACACACACTCAAACTCACTCTCACACTCTAACTCTCACTCACTCTCACTCTCATGAGCGGGGCTTATGAGCTGTACTGGGACCAATTCAATTCAATTGTGCTTTATTGGCACGACAATTGTTTCAATATATTGCTAAAGCATTTCCAACCAACTGAATGCAATCCGTTTACCTGGACCGATACTTTCCCATGCTGGTTTCTTACGCTTCACCGAACTCATCTCGCGTTCACGGGTTCGACGTTTCTCGAGGAAACCGGCAGCTTGACTAATCGCTGTCAGTTCATCAGAGAGAACAGCATTACCCAGCAGGAGCCGTGCGCGTGTGTGTGTGTGTGTGCGTGTGTGTGTTTCTCGCTGTCAGGAGGTTCCGTTCTTACGAATTCTAATGGGAAAATGTATTAGTGTGTGACAAAGAGCCTCGTTTCCAGGCGTCACATGAGTGTGTGTAACGCGTGTCTTAATAACCATTATAAAATTGCCAGATTTAGAATTCATCCAGCATAAATCTGATTATACACAGAACACACACACACTTTCTGCTGATCGCCTGTACAGAACTATGGCATCATTCATATCTCTGAAGAGTTTCCAGTTTTATCAGATTTATAAAAGACAGAAGGACACCAGAGCTGATGATAACGACGGAACTTGTGAAAGTAGTTGGCTAACGATGCTTTGGGGAAACACACACCTGATTTATATGTGTGTGTGTGTGTAATCTAAAGTGCCCATACAAGGAATTCCACCCTTTATTATGACTCAAAATACTAAAAACAACTTTCAGAAACGTTACTCTGTGTGTGGGAATGGATCGGATCTGACCTGTGGGGAGCCAGGGGTCCGGCGAGGGCTTCTGCCGGGTGTTCATCTGCTCCCAGTTGAAGTCGTCGTCTTTGCCTTGGGTGTATCCGCACTCGCTGAAGGACTTCTGCAGGAGACAGTCATCTGGGGGAGAGCAGAGCCACACATTAACACACACACACACTTACATAGCAGAGAGGCGCTTTAATCCTCTAATACGATACTAATAAAAGCGTGCCGTTCTGCCAATATCAACATCTTTGGAAGGCAGAAACACATTCTCAGTGTTGTGAAGTTTTTATGGAAATACATCTCGAGGAAACCAGCCTGCGCTCAGTGTATTTCTGAATCTGTCATCTCTACTCTTTCATCCTCACGCAGACGCCACATTTACACCATCAACTACATCACATCCACAGACCAGCCTCGGTTTCTGGCATGACGGTTTGCTGAGGGATTTCTCTTGATCTGAGTGTGTCGCTGTCAGGAGGATGATCGCTCGACTTCATACGGTGTTCTGACACACACATCGTGAAACCTCTGCACTGCAATTCCCATGTACGCATGTCATGATCACACACACAGCCTGAGCAAATGAACAGTAACACACACAGATCCTGTTAGAGTCTCCAAACGTCACGTTTACATTAGGATCATGAAACCCGACATGTCCATGAGTTTGGTTTAAAGACCATTAGAAAAACTGTTGCATCATTGTGGCGTTATTTTCATGACAATTATTATATTACACTCGTGGAAATGAAGCTTCCAGATGTTTGTCTTACTCTTTTGTTCCCTTGAGAAATTCTGAAAACAACCTTTTTTCATTTTAATAATCTAAACAGCATTTATCTGATCTTGATTTAAATAAGTTATTGCATTAGAGTATTTTCTCTTGCAAAAATGGCAGATATGAAAATGATTAAAGAATCTGGATTGAGAGACAAAAACAATATTTAAAGAGTAATCCAAGAGTAATTTAGTAAAATGTACTTTTATTTTCTATTATGTATTTTATTAATATTTACAATGATCTATAAATAAAATTATAAAATCAAATATTACCGAAAATTGATTTGTAATGCCTTACACTACTGCGTTACATCAAAAAGTGATGTGTGTTACTGTAATGTATTACTTTTGTAACACGTTACTCCCAACACTGGTCGCTCTGTCCCTATATATATATATATATATGTGTGTGTGTGTGTGTGTGTGTGTCTGCCTCAAACGGGTCCAATTTGTCCAAACCTCGCCAGAAAAGACCCGGAGGAACAGCCGGCGCTCCAGAAACCGGAGTGTTTCCGTTTGATCTGGGAATCAGGGAGGAAAACAACAGCACTAATGAGCTTTAGTACTGCAGGAACGGCTCAACAACTAACTTTCACCGTTAAAACCAAAGTTCTTCAGGCTTCAAACGAGATTGTTTTCTCAATTATTTGGCGCATACATTTTAATTACTTTTAATCATTTTAATTTCATTTAATTATGCAAGACAAACATCTAGGGCTGTTTGAGGCCGCCGCTGTAATTCTTGATTAGCTTTTAAAAGCTGCGTGTTCTCCACAATATACTGAACCAAAGGAGAGAATATTACATGAAAAAGTGGAAAATATAAGCACTTTTTATCAAATATACTATAGTTTGGAATGCTTCAAAATACGTCTCTTCTGCACACAAAGTCTGTTTTTATTTTTTGAAAAATACATCAATTATGAAATATTATTGCAGTGTAAATCATCTGTTTTCTATGTGAATATACAGTAAAGTGTAATTTATATCCTGTGATCAAAGCTGAATTTATCATCATTACTCCAGTCTTCAGTGTCACATGATCCTTCAGAAATCACTATTATATTGATATTAAATGATATATTGATATATAATATCAAGTCATATTAATAAACATTTTCAACATTTACAAAGCAGCATTCGTATTCATCTAATAGGCTAAACCATTTTTTTATTTTAGACCCCCCACCCACAAATATGTCTTGACATGCTGGAAGTGCCCATTTTGTGGCGCTACTGTTTGTATATTTTTCACACAAGTTGCACTTCCGGTAACGTTAACGTTAGCCGATACTACTGTTGTCTCCTTCTGCAATTACTCATGAGAACCGATCCCAAACATTAGAAATAGCAGCCTGACCTTTATTTTCTTTTAATCGTGTATATTCCCAAGCTCAATTTCTCCCGCACCTCGTCTTCCATCTTCACTTATATTTCTCCGTTGTTGTTGTTGTCCCGGCTGGCGGCGGGAGCTGCTTGGCGCGCCGCTTTCGTGACGTGTCACGTGACACCAAAGGTTTAGGAGCCTCACCTCACGGAAGTTACAATGCTACGGCAATCGTATTGTAACCTTATCAAATAACCTTATCAAATATGAAAATAGATATTCCCAAATATTTAATATAGGCTGGAAATTGCAAGCAACATAAATGGATAAAAAAAAAAATTAGGCTAATGACCCGCCCCGCAAATAAAGTGACAATTTCTTTACCCGCCCCAATATTTTTCCATTGTTTCATGAGCAGAACAATCCGAAAACACATTAAATAACAGTACAGCCCATTAAAGAGATGCAAGTCTATCCCTTACAGCCTCGCTTTCATTCTCATTAAAAATCAAAGATGGCGCTGCCGTGAATAAAGCATAGGCTCTCGGCACGGCGGTATTTCCGGTGAAGGTGTAAGGATGCTCGATAACTTCCGCCGATCGTAGAGTCCAATGCAATACCGAGAATTTATATTGAATTTTATACTCCATGGTTATAAAGAAACGTTAGTCACAAAAACAGATAAAACATACACCCCTCGTTGTGTTTATGCTTATTTTTAAAATTATATTAAATAAATAGGCTATAACTATATATAAAATTACATCTAAACGTATGTACGTTTCATTTGGAGAACAGTAAATTTTAAAGACTCTGCCATAATCCCGTTTTCCTCGGTTTACCTCCTCTTTAATCTCCACAACCGGAAATGGACGAGCATCCTTGCGTCAAATGCGGAATTTATGCGTGCATATAGCCCATTGGATGCCAGCCCGAACCCCGCCCACAACATTTTTTGGTCGGGAAGTTCAGACTAGAATATGAGTATGACGAAGTCAGGCTAGCATTGGTCAATAAAGTGAGATTAAATGCTATATTTGTTTTGTTTGAACTATTTAATTATGGAGGTTTTCGCAGTATTCTGATTTCGCATTTCACTGATTTTATTCATTTTGAGGAATACTGAATCTGTTTTTTTTTTCCAGTGAGATGAGTAAATGCTCACATTTAGTCTATAACTACAATAACCATCATGTGAACAAACAGCACACACACACTCACACGCCTCTACACTTCGATATGTCTCAACACGAGGCCGAGAGATCTGTCAGTGAGTCAATAAATGGGAAAACAAAGTGACTTGTGTTACTTATTTTTTTAAAAAAGAAACCAAGATGTTTTGTTGCAAGTATTAAAAGTAATGCGTTACTTTACTAGTTACTTGAAAAACGTAAATCTAATTACGCAACTCAAGTTAGTTGTAATGCGAGTCACACAGCACTGTTGTTCTCCGTCCGTAACCCCGCACCCGTGTCTGACCGCAGGACGTCCCGTGACCCGCTTATCCTCTGAGGAGAGGAAATGATGTCGTTTGAGTAGCCATCTGTTTTTGCCAGGCATATTTAATAGAATTCTGTTCCTCGTCTCGGTCTTCAATCAGGAGTTTAAGCCGCCGGCAACATTTTGGCGATTTGGGAGGATTATCATGGGGATTTATGGAAAAGAAGCTGTTTTCTCTGAAATATAATTATTATGGCTGAAGAGCCGTCGTGTAAATTATGAATTGGTAAAGTTTAGAGTCAACCTGTTTTATCCAATGAGACTCAATCAGGATCTTCATGCGCTCAATGTTGAAAGCAATTATTCAAAACTTCATTTAGATATACAGTCAAACAAAAAATATGTTCACTAGTGTGATCAGGACACTATGGAGTGAGTGAGGAGAGCAAAATAAAGTAAACTGTGACATATTACACCCAAATATTCTTCAAACGTGTGTGTGACCAATAATGATTCCTCCACTTTGAGCTGATGATGTTCTGCTGAAGTGTGTTTTCTGTTTTCTCACACACACTGAACAACATGAAGCATTGCTTGAGCTAAACTGGTATTATCTAATTGTGTAGTTGAATTTAACAGCTGACAGATATTCAACATAATTCATGTGTGAGAGTCCAACAGAAGGACGGACCAAACCAGTCAAATATCCACTGATCTGAGACCTGAGTTCTGCTCATATGTCTAAACTAATGGGAATAAACAGATAAAGTGAGGCGTGTTGAAGGAGTCCGAGTGAACGCCGGTCAGGAATAAGAGTGGCTGTAAACAGACTGAAGTTGCTTACGAAATAAAGTCGCTGTTTATCCGAACAAACCTGAGGACAAGCACAGCGGCTCAGTAATATTTACACAGCGCATCTGTCCCTGCTGTCCTCACACGGCCCTGCTATACACACACCTCTCCTAAACGTTCAAGGCTTTTAAAAGACGGGAATAATGAGAATTCCAAGAGTTGTGTCAGTCCTTCCCGAGAGGATTGGCCTCAGCGGGACACGGCTCTTCAGAAGCTCCCGAGACCACGGTTCTGCAGATCCACGCTCAGAGAGTAAAACCTCAGTGTTTCCAACAGTGCTCAACAATCTCAGATCTCAATGTGGAATCTGGGTCTGTTGTAAATGCTCCTCAGGAAACATCTGAACAATTGAAAAGTTTAAGAACTGACCGTTTCCCCGAGACGACCCGATGGACAGCTGGAGGTTTGGTGTCAGATGTTTGAGATTCTGAGTCGGATCACTAACGAGCCAACAGTTTGCCAATGTCATGATAATTCTCACACAAAACTCTGAACTTCTGCTGCACTCGAAAAAATCTTGGGTTATTTTTTCTACCCAAATCCTGGGTTGAGACTTTTGGGTCAATTGTTTAAGTTTTTGCTTTATAGTCGGGAGGTTAAGTGACTTTTGAAATCAAGGCATGATGGAAAGGTCCCCTTAGTGCCATAGACATACACTTATCCTAAGATACAAGTGAGATCACATTTTGTATCTTATATACGCACATTTTTTAAAATGCTTGAGAGGCCCATA